TTTTTTTTTATTAGATTTTATTTTATTTTATTTTAACTTTTTATTTTTAATTCAGTTTCAGTTAGTTTCCCAAATGTGTTTGCGCATTTCAGTTTAGTTTTTGTTATTTGAATATATTTGATTCTAGTTTAGCTTTTATTAGTTTCAGTGTTAGTTTTAGTATTTTTTATTATTATTATTACGCCAGAGAAAAGATTTAGGAATATCAGTATATTTTATTATATTTCAACATAAACAGTTGGAAGCAGTTGACTCAGTCTTGTAGACATACAAAGTCTCAATAAACATGTCCATAAAAGCCTGATCAGGGAGTTTGTGACAACATTTTTTTTTATCAGATTAACAAATACAAAACTAAGACTATTTGCTCCACATTTTTTTCTTTGTTTGTTTGTTTATTGTTTGTTTTTTTAGTTTTCCGAGTTCACAAACTACATAAGACCTATTGAGGGCACCAATGTGGTTTTGTTGCCTCTAGCTGACAGCAAATTTGAATAGAAAAAGAAGGAAAAATATCCGGAACCTTCCACAAATGCCCGCAAACTAAACACGGACTTGTTTGTTGGTAGCACTAGTGATCGTCTAGTAGCTAGCTGCAGTCAGTTTACAAGCTGATTAAGGGTGGTCAAAGCACGTTATAACGCCTTTTCTACTTGTTGTCTTTACTTTGTCAACTGTAGGGTAAGTGAACCATTATCAGAATCTAAAGTGCTGCTGTCGATTGAAATGTTACTCTATTAAAACCAAACTCTTAGCTCGCTAATATTAGCTACATGTACAGAGATGATCTTGGCGATAAAGGATTAGAGCTGCACATATAGGACGTTTAGTTTTCTCATGTTTAGTTTTCTCTTTTTGTGGTGCACTTGACTTGTGTCGGGACAGTTGTTTTCGCTCTTATTGCTGTTGCAGCTTTACACGGACAGCCAAAGCTAACGCTCATTTATCATCCATTAACTCCATTAATGGTCTTTGTTCGAAAATAAGGGGGAAAGATCGTTAAAACTTCCCGCAGTCCAGGGAATGAAAATGTAAGGTCCTAACTAAACTCATAAAACTGTGTAAATGTGGAACGCATTCCTCATAAAGCTGGTTATGGCACTGCCTAAAATACTTGTTTATGACTAAACAAGTCATACAGATGAGAGAGGGAGCAAAATCACAAGTTATAAAAGGCATACATACACAAACACACACTGGATAATTGGAGGGAAAGGGGAGGGGTGGATGTGATGCATTTAAATATGTATTTAAATGTATAAAATCCGCAATTAGTTAAGTAAAGTTGATATATTTCTCATTTTGTGGGTCATTTTTGTTAAAAGTTGCACTTTTTGTGTCTTAATCTTCTACATCAAAGGGTTTAGTTCTCTTGTTGCCACCTTGATGTCACGGCTGTATAATTGGGCAGATACGGCAGTGGATTGTAAACCTTGAAACTACAGCTTCTCTCACCCACTCGTTTTTGTTGTTTTCCTCTTTTGTTTGTTTCACTAGCTGTTCATTAGGTTTAGGTAGTTAAGTGTTACTGAACTCTTCTTGATCACATTAGACAATCCATCATGATTTGCTCTCATATTGACTCTATTTTTAGTCACAATATATGGTTTTCTTTTTAATGTTTTGTCAC